TTGAGCCTTTCAAATATCTCATCATCCACTTTATAGCTAACCAGTGAGTTTCCCCAGGATTAGCCATAAACCTACTTAGGATGTAAATACCATGAGCTAAGTCGGGTCTAGTACAAACCATGAGGTACATAATGGAGCCTCCAGCATTAGCATAGGGAATATTTTCCGTTCTTTTCAATTCATCATTAGACTTAGGTGATTGATCACTAGAAAGTTTAAAATGATTTGCAATAGGTAAGGAGATAGTTTGCAATCAGACATAGAAAATTTTTCAAGTATTTTCTATATGTATGCAGATTGTTTTAAAATTAGGGTACAACTAGATCAATCCCTTTCTATTTCCATACCAAGAATTCTTTTGGTTGGACCTAAATCTTTCATTTCAAATTCAGATTTTAACTTTGATTTATCAAATTCAATTTCAGATTTATCATGACAGGCAAGTAACATATCATCTACATACAATAACAGCTATATAGATTTAGGTCCTCCTAACCCTTTGAGAAACAAACAGGAGTCATAGCTACTTTTCTCAAAACCCATGGTCTGAACATATGAATTAAATTTTAGGTACCACTGTCTGGGAGCCTGTTTCAACCCATATAGGGACTTTTTTAACAAACAAACCTTTTCAGTTTTGGACTTTACTTCATAGCCCTTAGGTTGATTCATATATATGACTTCATCAAGATCACCATTTAGGAAAGCTGTTTTAGCATCAAGTTGTTCCAGTTCCCAGTCAAAGTGGGCAGTCAAGGCCAATAAAATTCTGATTGAGGTATATTTGGCAACTGGTGAAAAGATCTCATTAAAATATATTCCCTCCTTTTGGGTAAAACCTTTAGCCACTAACCTGGCCTTATATCTTTTATTTTCTGTTTTAGAGTCTCTTTGTTTTATTTTAAAAATCCATTTACAGTCAACTACTCTTTTATCTTTAGGTTTAATGACAAGAACCCAGGTTTTATTTTTAATTAAAGAATCCTTTTCCTCATTCATAGCTTCCTTCCAAAGCTTGGAGTCAGGACTATTTGTTGCTTCTTCAAAATTTTCGGGTTCAGAATTTAAGGAGTCTAAAACAGAAAACATGGTGACAAAGTCATTATTACTGAATCTGGTAGAAGGTATTATGTTCCTTCGTTCTCTATCCCTTGTAAGTTGATAATCAGCAAGAGATGGGTTTAATGATTCAGTCTCAGATTCTGAATCATTATGATTATTATCATTACTAGATTGAGTAGACTCCACCTCAATCAAATCATGTTGATCTATATCAGTTCCAGTTTGATCTTCCACTAAGTTTTCTCTCACAAGTGAAGATTCTCTTCATTTAGGAATTAATGAACTATTACAAGGAAATATATTTTCATTGAATATGACATTCCTGCTTAGTATAACCTTGCAACCATGTTGCTCTTTAACCCAAAGTCTATAACCCTTGGTTTTCTCCCCATAACCCAGAAAAATATATTTTAAGGATCTAGGTTCTAATTTTCCTTCATTTTGATGTGAATAGGCAGCACAACCAAACACCTTGAGTTTACTATAGTCTGGAATTTTTCCTGACCACAGTTTTTTAGGAATGTTGAAATCAACAGCACTAGATAGACTTCTATTTATCAAATAAGTTGCAGTTTTTAGGGCTTATCCCCAAAAAAGTTTTGGAAGACCAGAACTGTGAAGCATACACCTAACTCTTTCCAATAGAGTTTTATTCATCCTTTCAGAAACTCCATTTTGTTGAGGAGTGTAAGTCACAGTTCTGTGTCTTAAGATTCCAAATTCTTTACAAAAAGAATTAAATTTAGAGTTACAGAACTCAAGTCCATTATCTGTTCTAAGAGCTTTGATTTTCTTATTTGTTTGATTTTCAGTCATCAATTTCCAATGTTTAAAATTTTGAAAGGTGTCAGATTTTTGTTTTAGAAGAAAGGTCCATATTTTTCTTAAAAAATCATCTACTATTAGTAGATAAAATCTATATCCACTTAGAGTATTAACAGTGGCTGGTCCCCAAAGATCAGCATGCAAATAGTCTAAGATGGAGGTGGATTTGTGAAGTCCATATTTGAAGGGCATTTTTGTTTGTTTTCCAATTATACAGTCTTCACAGAAATCTAACTTTTCAATGTTAACATTCCCAAGGCATCCAAGTTTGTTTAAAGAAATTAATCCCTTTTTAGAAATGTGCCCGAGCCTTCTGTGCCAGATTAAGGATTTGTTTAAGGAAGTGTTCAAAGCAGTAGCACTGTGACCTACTAAAGGTTCAGCACAAATGGTATAGATACCATTTATCTTAGGAGAGGAAATAATATTTCTGTTAGCAAGGTTAAGTCTTAAGAAACATTTGTGGATTATGATGTTATAGTTATCATCTAATTCTCCCAAAGAGATTAGATTTCTTTTGAGTTCAGGAACAATCTAGTATTTGTCAGTTCAAGAATACAATTGTTGCTCAACAGTAATTTCATTTTCCATATTCCTTTAATTTGACAACACATGTCATTTCCCATTTGAATCTTTCCCCCATCAAGTTCAACAAATTCAAAGAACCAATCTCTAATGGGGCACATGTGCAAGATACAACCAGAATCAAGAACCCATTCTTTTGGATCCCTTCTGGTAGTATTTACTAGGACAACCCCCTGTATATCAAGGTCATGGGTGCAGGCAATTGCTGCAGACCCATCAGCATTTTTTTTCCTTTTGAGTCAGACATTTTCTTAAATCGGTCTTTTATTAGATGTCCCATCTTTCCACAGTAATATCACTTCCTAACTTGATTCTTGTTCTTCACTTGATTCATGCTTTTATCCTTAAATTTTTTATTCACATATTTTCCCCTTTTTGAGGAGGTAAAATTGCACTGATTTATCTTTTTACCCCGAGGAGGTTTTTCTTTAATATGTAGGCCCTCACCACCTTTGGGTCATGGGTGCAGGCAATTGCTGCAGACCCATCAGCATTTTTTTTTCCTTTTGAGTCAGACATTTTCTTAAATCGGTCTTTTATTAGATGTCCCATCTTTCCACAGTAATATCACTTCCTAACTTGATTCTTGTTCTTCACTTGATTCATGCTTTTATCCTTAAATTTTTTATTCACATATTTTCCCCTTTTTGAGGAGGTAAAATTGCACTGATTTATCTTTTTACCCCGATGAGGTTTTTCTTTAATATGTAGGCCCTCACCACCCTTAGTGTGATTAAAGTCAAGTTGTAGTTCAAGATCTTTATTCCTTAAGGCAGTGGTTATTATGTCAACAGTAAGATCCTCTCTCCCATATTCTAGGGCATTTCTAACATCCCTATATTTCTCACTTAAAGAATTTAATAGGCCAACAACCTGTTGTTGATCAGAAAGTTCTTCATCATAGTTTGCTAAATCTTGAGTTAGTTTTGTATATTTGTCAATGTTGTCTTCTAAATTGCTAGAGTGATCAAACCTAAAGTTATAGAACTGTCTTAAGAGATAGCACTTATTTGGCATTGTTTTGGTTAAGTATAGAGTTTCTAATTTTGTCCACAATGCATCAGCAGTAGTAGTTTCACCTACTTTTCTTATTACACTATCAGATAGGTGCAGAAAAATGGTGCTCCAGGCAATCTCAGTTAGTTCTAGTCTCCTATAGGCACTGATCTCAGCAGCCCAGGTGCCATCAAGTGCACCAGCACAATTCCCAGATCCTCTTAAGAGATCTTGGACAAAGGTGAGTAAAGGCAGATTACTTACCTTAATGACTAGGTCCAAGAAATTATTTAATATATTGACTAACGAAATAAATTTTGGATTTATAGGTTACCACAGTCTAAAATATTAATTTCAGAATAAGAGATTAATCAGTAAGTAGCAAGAAATTGAACCAGAACTCCAAGTCAGACACAAGAACCCTCCGAGTTGCAGTGACTCAATATGAACTCAGTGAAACTCGGGTTGAGTCAACTCAGCTCACCCAACTCAGTATGAGCAGCACCGATTTTCCAAGAACAGAGTACATAAACAACAGATCAAAGCGAGTTAACGTCGAGTTATATCATATATATCAAGATTATTCAAAAGGTTAACAAAACAGTAACTAGATCTTGCAAGATCTTCAAGAAGATTTCAGATCTGACCAGTCAGTTACCAATCGAAAGGTGAATCGAGTAAGACAGAAAAATTCCAGAGAGTTTTCTTTACAAATATATGAGAACACTTCAGATCTTGCAAGTTTAGAACGAGAAAAGATTTTACAAAACAAATTTTTTTAAAAAAATCGCTCTGATACCACTTGTTGGTCCCATAGTTGATATAATCTTGAAGTTAAATGGTTTATTCTCGAATCAAAAATTATTTCAGAATAAAATAGCGTAAACAGAAATAGGAACACAAGATATGTTTTGCTCCAAAATGGAGCCCGGATGTTCAGTCCAAGGACCTAATCACTCGTTGAGTCTCAATCAAGAGATATGCTCGAGTTTCCACTAATTTCACAAAGATTCAGTACAGGATGTTCGAAGAAATCAGGGATTTCTTCATCTTTTTCTAGCCTCTATTTCACACAGATTTTCTTTCAACAATATCGCACAGATCACTCAACTTTACAATCCTTACTCAAAGAACTTTGAAAATCACACAGATTTCTTATTACATTTTTAGAGAAAGGAGAGAGAAGAAAGAACTCCCACACAAAGAGAAAGACTGAAAGTTTTAGAGAAAATCAGAGAGAATGCCAAAAGCCAAACGACCAAGAGTCAAGCAAGTATCAAACAGTTGGACCGACTTTATCTAACAGTTGGGGGTGTGCAACGTGTATAGCACACACCCAACCATAAGAGGCAGTAAATCATGAAACCAAAAACGCGAGAATACATTAAGTTTGGGCCTCTTGTTTGTTCAATTTAATAAGGGCCCAAAGTAGGAAATAGTGAGGCAGCCCAACACTTTTAACAAGATTCATCATCGCGTTTAAAGAAAAACGAGAAAAATATGAAGATACATGAGTTGATCGTACTTTCTAGTTCACATCTGCAACGTCTATACTGAAATGTCGTCAATAAATCCCGTTTGAACACAAATCAATAACGAGCAAAATTTTACATACACACCTTCCATTTTCTGTCAAGATTTGAATTTTACAGTTCATAGGACAGCAAGGCAAAATGAATAACAAACCCAAAAAATCCAATAAGATTCGTATGAAAACAACATTATACAAACTGTAGAAGAATACTACTCAAATACATCATCTTGATTGTCGTCAATTGTGTCTGAAGGGCTCTCTTTTGGTTTAATGTATCCATACTTTCTCAGAATCCACAAATTCATACGAACCATATTTCCTATGAAAACAACACCCATGAGAGTCAACCATGTCAAGACTGATATTTCGGTGACTTCGCGTAACATGTACTTGACGTCACTGGGTGACATATGCCGGAGTGTGACGAAGTAAGTGGCGACTTGAGCACTAATTGCGATCCACACTATTACCATTTGAAGCCACATCCAACGCCTTCGATTCAAAGGCAGCCCATTAACTAGGAGAAGGATTATACTTAATGACGAAAGGAAAGCAATCGTGTTGAGAATCATGAATATCCCATATTCCTTAGGGTCTTTATATGCCATTATCGATTGCCCAACAGTGTGAGGATTGCCAACGGGGTTCCCATTTTCGTCTACTGTATAATCGTCCTGCCAGACACCACCAGGAGGGGTTAGTCCAGCTTGAAATGCCACAGTTGCAATCAAAGACGCCACCACCATTAATGCACTGCGTCTCCTACCTAGCCAGTCAGTGTGCTTGGGCTTTACGGCCGGCTTCTTTGCATTGCTTTGCAGCGAGGATAGTCTTATCGTCGTCTGCCTAACTTTTTCTGGTATCCAATCATTCGTGATCAAATGCAAATCCTTCACACTAGAAGCACCGGCCTTTTGAAGGGAATTATGGATTTCCATATCTCTTAGGTCTCTCGGGCTTTGATTTAATATATCCAAAGCTGTCAATCCATTCTTATTCAAGGCATTCGTTTCCAATCCATTCAACTCAAGCAAAGAGTTGATGATCTACTCAATAGAAACAAGATTACAATTAGATCATCTAGTTCATAATGGAAACCATAGAATCAGACCGTACCTACTCAATTTTCAAATTCAAAACTTAATTGGTGATATACTTGCTTCTTTTTATAGTTATGCCCCTTATTTTAATGATGTTATTTCACCCATATGAACTTCGTGTTTGTACTTGGAGATCGACCCATAAAGGTTAACCTTTTAGGACGAGTAGCGCAATTCCCCAAGAACATCTCCATGTCTAGCCAAGTTAAACTTAACAAACTACATGCCACAATTCTTTTTGGAGGCATCAAAAGAAGCATGATTTTGACCATCTACATAGTCATCATCTTCGTTAACCCTATTCTTGTGCATAATTGAACATAAACCCACCCTACTTTTTTATTTGATTACAATTTTGGGCATATTGATTATCCAATTGACACTTCTTACTGTGTTAAAGAAAGGGAAAATCAAGAAATGAACACAAACCTCAATTTGCTTCTTAGCCACTGCAATGTGTAAAATAGTATTCCCATCACAATCCTTCCAATTCAACAAATCTCCATCTAATTCCATCGTTGCCTCAGCCAAATTCTGTAACATTTCCACCCTATTATACTTCACGCAGAGATGTAAACACGTCTCGCCTCGGTCAGTCAGAACCCTGCTTAGCTCAGGAGCAACTCGGACCAACTCAGTCGCTGCCGCCGTCCTCCCCTTGATCACCGCAACATGTAAAGCAGTCCTCCCATCCAAATTCCGGACAGATCCCACCTCAGAATCCGCACTTAGAAGTTCCTTGACGATGTCCAAGTGTCCCTTCGCCGCTGCCAAGTGCAGCGGCGAGCAGCCATTAGAATCCAACTCAGCCGCCAACTCGGGCTTCCGATTTAGCAATTCTTTCACGAAATTTAAGTGGCCTAACATGGAGGCAGTATGAAGAGGCGTTTGTGAGATACATAAAACTATAATTTTATCTAATATTAATGGATCTTCGTCCAAAATTTGCTGTAATAACTCTACATTTCCTTGTAAAGATGCCTCTGATAATCTTCTATCCATTCTGTTTCTCTATTTTAAAGCTCTGACTATACAAACATCAACATGTTCTTCATACACTTCATATATGGATTCTCTGCTTCCATTCATAAATCTTGCGATCTTATTATTTTCTTGATTTGGTATTTTATACGAAGATGAGAAGCAGCTGCCAAAGAAGAAAGTGGATAAGGGAGCTGTTAATTCGTGGGAAAAAGAATTATTCTACTCAAACAGGGCCATAAATGTTTGACCCTAGAAAGTTTCTGTCGCTGTTAATTTCGTTATGGGAGAGGAAATGAAAGGAATTTTGGAACTTTCATATGCAACTTGCAACTAATTGGTGAAATTCTAAATTTTACAATTCTTTGGTCATGTGTGAAAAGTTATGGGAGGGACCCTTTTTAGGTGGAAGCATAATTCAAATATTGGAATAATAATCTTGCTTTTCTAGAAGGTCAAATGTTGGGAAGTCAAGTAGTCATAGAAACTTCATGTTGTGTCCAAATCCCATGCATGAACGGGTGGACTGCGAGTGCGAAGCATGCGTGGCTAAATTGAAACACAACGCGTCAAGGAAAAATTCCGCTCGATAATTTTATTTGATTTTTTCGATTAAATTTTTTATAAAAATGATCAATCCACCGTACTAACCACATCTCTATATAACAATCTATTTCGAGCTAAAGTTGATTAGCATAAACCTATTCGTGTTGGTTTATTTTCACACCCTTAATAAAATGTCGTGTAATTTTGGTGAAATAAGATCTAGTTTGATATTATTTTTACTTATACATTTATTTATTGTAAAAAGGCTTCCGAAGAAAATTACTTTAATTTTTGTTTGAAAACTAATTTTTAAAATAACTTTTCTATTTCAAAAGTGCTTTTAAAACCAACTTTTATAAAATTACACGAAAATTGCTTAATTGACAATTATTTTGCAATAGATCTTCCATGTGATCAATGGGTAGAAAATCATACAACAATGGATCTTCCGCCAAGGAGTAACGCTATCTATCATTAATAGAAATACATTTTATCAAAAGATATTGCTATAGCCCTCATTTTACCATTTTCATTCCTAGGATATCGCGTAGCAATTACGTGAAAGATATAAATACAATACAACAGTCAAGTAAGCAATATCCAAAAGAAAATTGAAGTACAATAATCCAATAGAAATAAATTAAACTTTACTAACCCAATTGAGATTTTGCTTAGAGTTCATTGAGTGCGAATGAAATTTACTCATTAAAAATATATTGTTTTATGATTTTCCCTACACCCTTTCCACCAACTTTTCTCATCTTTACCATTTGCATTCTTGGTTCGACTAGCAGTTAATTGTAGTAGAAGCCAGTTAAACCTGGCCCAGGGGGTTCGGCATGGTCCGACACTTGCCTTGCTTGCAGGCAGGGTCAGGCCGAGCCACTTTACATCTCATAGGAGGTCCTAATGAGCCAAAAATGCAACAAGAGCTAAGATTGCAGGCCATAGAGAAAGCAGCATCTTGAGATGCAATTAAGTTAATTAAAACCAATATTTTCAACTGAAACTCAATTAGTTCCTAAATCATCGTTATTTAAGATAAAAATAGTGAATGAAAATAATGCTATTTAACTCCACTGTGGTTATAACTCCGGTCTATGTGACATTAAATGATAGGTTTGATGAAATAAGTCATTTAATTCCACCTATCATTTAATACAACATTAGAGCGCCCATAGATGGGAAGTTATAACCCTTAGTAGGACTAAATAGCATTATTCAGTGAATTAACATAAAGAGAGATGCATATCCTTACTACAAGAAGAAAATCCTTACATAACCCATAATTCAGATTCACATGGGCGGACACCCCGAGCAACTATCTAGATAAAGCCGACTAGCAACATTATAGCGGTCCTCCCTGTCATTGTTCATAATGTACCAATAACACAGTTAGCCACGTTCAGAAAAAGATAGGATAAAAGATTTGTTAACCTAGTACCTTAATCACGAAGCATTCCAAGGGCGCGCTCTCTTCTTGCTACTACAGGTTGGGCATTTGTACTGCTTGATATACTCGGCACGGGCAGGAGTTATGTTAACACACTTGCCATGGAACCATCTCTTACATACGTCACAGAAGATCCAAAATTCATCCTCGACATAGAGTTCCCCACACACTCCACACAAGGTTTCATCATTCTCCTCCTCTTCTTCCAAGCCCTCTTCATCCAAGCCCTTGTCCTCGTACTTGACTTGGATCTTGGAGTTTTTGCCCTAAGATTCAATAAAATGATGATTTCATATTTAAAGGCAAAGCAAAGCAGGAAAACACGTTTAAAGGAGGAGCGAAACTGTACTTATTTACTGCAAATGTGCAGGGCACACAATTAAGGTAATGTTGTTAAGCATTGCCATATATCCGACACACTCCAACATCTAAAAAGTGATAGCCGTTAGAAAAATCAACCATGGGATGCTGCATTTTTTGTGCGAGGATAATAGAAATAAAACAGTACCTGCATCCTACAATGAAGATGTGTGACGCATGCTACAAATCTCCAACTATTCTGCTGAAGAATCATGATACATGAACCACTTGATTAAGTCGACAACACCATGTTAATTAAGAATATACCATTTGTTCACCCATAATATTCCTTCCTTGAGAATTAATGTTGATTGTGTGGTGAATAAATGCATAAACTAGAGCCAAGTGGTTGATTACTAATGCAAACAGCCACGGAATGTACAGAGAACAAACAACAATTAATAAGGGGAGAAAAAGAGTAATCCAAACGTGTAGTATTCAACTAACACTTTCTAGAGAAACTCTTTATTACCCTTGCAACTCAAGTACTACACAAGCCAAATTCAACCATATACTAAAAATGATAAGTGAATAGAGAGTGCCACGAGCAATGATGATCCCCAGCCAAGAGGAAAACTGAACAGATGGGAAGGGGCTGAAGCAAATATTTTCGTGTAGAGGATTATACAGGCATAGATTTGATCAAGGATTTCCACGCATAAAATACCAGAAAATGCTTGTACACAAATTTCAAAGTTAAAGCACGAGGGAAGCAAGTGCGCCAAGTGCAAACAAACCTACAATATAGATTTTGATATTCATTATTTTACTTCTATTTTTCACCACAATCAATTGTATTTTAACAACTTCTATTTTTGTATTTATTTACGAGCGACAAGGAGTGAGTGAAATCAGTTTCATCCAGTTATTTGTCACCAAAGGAATAAAATGAACCTTACTCTACATGCCACATTCAGACAATGGTCTGTACCAATCAAACAAAGGCAATAATTTTCGGCAACAAAAGTTTCACTGACTGATACGATACATATGGCAAAAGTTATACAATCACAAATTCCACAGAAAACCAAGAAAAGATAGTCTCTTTTACCCTTTTTGAGTTTAACTTGGATGTGTCCTTCACGTGCTCCTCTGTGGCCCCAGTCACGATATCAAATATTGTCGGGAGTTCATTTATCCTATCAAACAAATCATTCCTGCATCCAGATGCCAGCAATAATTTATGAAACAATTTTTTAAAGAAATTTTAGCTACTTGTAATTTCCATCTCTAAGACAAATAGAAGAGGCTGTTGCATCTTAAATATCCTGAAAAAGGAAAATTTTCAGAAGATCACATAGCACTTCATGTATACACTGCATAAGAATCCCTAAGATGACCTTGCCCGTCAAACTAAGGGCCCGTTTGACATGACTTTTACTTTTACTTTGTTTCTATAGAAGAACTTTTGGATGAAACTACCTTAATTTTTGTTTAAAAACTAATTTTTAAAAGAGCTTCCTACTGTGGAAATGCTCTTAAAGAAAGCCACATTAGACCAATTTTCTCTAAAAACTCTTCTAATTACATAAACACATTCATAAAATTAGTCAAACGAGCCTAAAAGTATCTTTTAGATCTCAAAAACTCTTTTTGACTTTTCAAAAGTCATGCCAAATGGGCATTATGTTTTCTCAAAGGCCAAGAAAGATTAGAGAATAACAAATGGGAGCTATAACTCTTTAAGTCATTTAAAAATGGAGCTCTTAACACCTCAACCATATCGAAAACACATAAGAAAACCAAAGTTTAGGTTCAGATCACAGCATTTTCCACCAATAAAATGAACCAAATTTTCCCCAGCTTATTTGGGGATACAAAATGACAAAAGAAACAATATTTAAATAAGCCGAGCAATTAAAAGCACTGAGTTCATAAGTTACAATTAACCATACCTTTTAGCTCTGTCGAAACCAAATCTGCCACCAAAAAAGAAAGCAACAGAAATTAGCCACAAATCACTACGAATAGCAACTAGAGCTAGCCATTCCTTTGCTTGCATCTGATCTCTGGGAAAGTTTATACCTTAAGTAGGCTCAGGAAGTTCAGGAGGCACCTCCTCATCAGGCAATTTAACTTCCCATTGCCCATTAGGAAGTCCATAAAGACAAAGATTTTCCTTCTCTACAGAATTTCCACATATTTAACTCAATCAACGTCCAAGCTACCAATTGAAATGCTTTCGAAAGAAACACTTAGTATTGACTGATAAATATACCTGCTCAGTCAATATATGAGCACTATACAATTGAATGTATTAATGAGGTTGAACGTCCTATTTGTTGTAAGTAGAAACACGAGAAGGTGCTATGGACTGACTTCTTAAGAAACATCCAAACGATAAAATATAACACGAAACGCTAAAATAACTACATAACATTTAATAGAAGTTGTTTTCATACCAAAAAAAAATAAAAATATATATATTGGATTCCTGTTTGCAAAAATAACTCCCTTTGATTTCTTTAAAATTCAGATGGATGAAATACAATGATATTTCTCACTCCTATTCTGAGACTTGTAAAGACCAATTATTGTTTTATTTTCTTTGGCAGGCTTCTGTGCCATTTGTATTCAGAAATAACCGTCAAACAAAAAATTTTCATTTAGTAAACTTGCTCATTATGTGTTGATTTTGATTTTTTTTTCTTCCCCTTTTGCATGTTATTAATGCTTAATGAACTATCATCCTCCCTTACATTGTTTCGGAACTGGTTGAAATATGGCACATAAAGGGACTACACAGATAAGAACAGCATAAATCTGAAAGACCTAGAAATTCAAATCATAAGAAAAACACAAACAGGAAAGAGAACGAGAACCAAGCAACTATAGAAACTGAAACTAATAAAAAAAATGCACAAGACGCCACAACAATGACAAGCCTACTATTTCACGTGGACTAGGAAACTACCTTGCTAGAAAAATGTACTATTTTTTGTTGTATTTAG